AATAGAAAATAATCCAGGTAAATGACACACTCTGAATACTAAAATATTGACTGACATCTCCCACGACACTGCAGGGTCAAAGGGACTACAGTTTAGTGACTTTCTGTGCCATCAGCATGAACTTTAATCTATTTTAGGTATCGTGGGAGCTCACAGGGGAAAAAAGCCCACGAGAGGCTCCTTGTTGTCTTGTATTGTTTTCCGGGCTAATCAACTCGATATGACAGTTAGCTTAACAATGGCTCTCTGCAAAGCAACACGAAAATTGCGTTAAGCTGCACTTTAAATGTTTTTCATTAAAGAAATTAGATCAGTTGAGACAGTGATCCCGAGAATCAAATATACAGCCATTTAAATTATCTGCTTTAAAGCCATGTTTTGTTCCAAAGTTCATCAAATATTGTACACATGAACAAGGGCAAAGCTTCGAGGAGGGGAAAAACGGAATACTTGGCAGGAAATAAATGAAATAAAAAATGGAGATGAATTTGGGATACCCAGTGACGTAGACTGAGTGTGCTTTGGCACTTTAAAGGATGCTTTATGGTGTTTTATTTGCGCAAACCCTGCGCAGATCTCCAGTCTCTGTCTCTGGCAGGCTGGCACAGATGTGGAGGCTGACACTGCACCCTGTAAACCTGACAGGAACACACAAAACAGTCGAGCCACAAGATGCGCACCAGGCGCTGCACGCTGGGAGGAGCTTCGAGATTTTTTCCCACTTGTTTCATGACACTCTCCGGTGAAGACACGTTTGCACAAAGGAGATATAGGGGGACAGGTGAGTCGATTAATGTGTGGATAGACTTAAAATGGATATTGCGAAGCTATAGTTGTGGGACATACATGGACTCCCCCTTTGAGGTGCAAGACATGATTTCTCTGCTCTTTTGTGACAGCGTAACCTGTAGCTGATAGAACTATGAAATGTGCGTAATTTGGATAAAAGAAAACGTGCTGGATGAAAAGAGTCCAGACTGCGTACCTGAGACTCTTTGCGTTGGAGAGAGACGTTTTGCACCTGTCAAGTCGGTTAACTAATCTCTCAGAGCTCAGTTGGAGATGTTTGAATGCGCGCTGCTGAGTAAGTTGAACAAATTGGCACAAATTACGCACCGATGCACACTCAATTAGAAATAAATCGCCTCGTTATTATTTGGTAGTAATATGTAGAGTTAGCTCGAATTGAATCAGGTTGTGCTGAGGATGTTTGATCGAGCAGGTGTAGTGGCACAAGGTTCCTATCATTGAACAAAAAAGGGTAAATAATGGTTTATAAAGTGCATGGCTTAACCTGCCTGGTGCAGCGGTGTGTACCAGAGGGGTCGAGGCAGGGTTTTCATGTTCCTCGGGTTACTGGCACTGCAACACCTGTTGTAGCACCATGATCACATTTTCGGTGATCCCTACATATGGATTTCGAGGCATCTTACATATCAGTCAACTATAGATTATTTTGTCCGATGTCCTTGAGTCTCTGTTTTCTCTTCACCGCTAATATTTCAAGGAACCGACACGTATGAATGGTTTCAAATATCAGGGAATTGTGCAGGAGCTTGGAGACACGACACATCTGCAATGCAATACCTTTAGTTTAACCGTAACATTATGGGCGAGAACACAATACTTCCAAATGCCATTGGCTTCACTGTTTTACTGTTTTAGTAAAATCGTGGAAAAGGCGATGATGTCAGTGAAAGATAGTCTTTCTAGTGGTTCTCAGGAAATAGGCTGGATCCCCCGAGAAATCAACGAGTGTCTGTCACCAAAGAGATGACCTCTCACTAAAGGGTGACCTGGTTTGTCTCAGAAAACTTTAAGCATTAAGTGATGGCCACAAAAAAAATAAAAAATAAAAATAAAAATCAATAAAAATTGCAAAGCTTAATCAGGCCCATAAGGGGAGGTCCAGGTTTTATGATTGAGAATCCCTAGGAAATGGATTTCCTCAAAGCATCTTACTGTGGTTAACATAACATAATGCAATTTACATGCATTTGCCTAATAAGGATGAGACTTGGCTTTTATCCTTTAAGAGCCAAGCTGCAGCTGTAGTTATACATGTCATTACAACATGCACTGTCTGCACTCAGCAGCGGCTCTTGGCTGTACACAGGTAAACTGCCATAAATGACTAGATGATGAACTACAGCATATTTTTACTTATGAAAGGTTGTTTAATGTTAAGCACAAAAACACAATGTTCCCTTTATAAGATTCAGACTATGCATGCAACCTGCCTGCAACTCTAATGATGCAGCTTTGAACTGGCTCACTCTTGATCTCACTGCTTCCTCCATCATGTTTTCTTTATTCTTTCTAATAGTACAGGTTTTCATGTCTCTTAGAGGGTTTTTTTGTGTTTTTTTTTCTTTTTGCACAGCCCAGACAATATTCCACAGTAAATAGCTCGTGATATCTGGTTCTATTTTTGCATAGGGCTTTCAAGAAGCTGCTACAAAGCAAGCTGTTCTTCAGTTGATTCTAACTGTCGATCTATTCATTAAAATTCATGTTTAATTTTCTTACTTTTTCAGAACATCTACCTCCTCAACACAGTCGTGGACAAGTGTTCTAATAATGAGGCCGTACGAATTAGAGGCGTCTCATATCTACTAAATTGTTTCATTATCTTTTGGTTAAACACTACATCTCTTTAATATCAGAGTGGTATTTGCAGGTGATGTAAAGGGAACAAAGAAATAACTGTGGAGCCATGTTTTTTAAGAAAGTTGGATTTTAGCTCTCTTGCAGTGCAGAGCATGGAAAACACCCTGAAAATAAAAAACATGGTTTGAAGTACAATGCATCACTAATAATGCCACTTGTCTGTCCTAATACACTGGCAGGAATGTCTGCAGTTCACTTCTGTGAGTGACAGAAGGTATTACAGCATATAAAAGACACGAAACAAATGGATAGAAGAGTAACACACCTCGACCCTTGATCAAAGAGCTCTAATGTTCAGATTCCCATAGTTGTACTGCCAGTATCCAATTCAATTTGACTTATTTTATTTAGAAAATTCTTAGCATTGTAAGGTAAAGAGTCTACAATAATACAGAAAAACCCCAGCAGCCAGACAACCCCCTCTGAGAAAGCACTTTTTGACAGTGGGAAGGAAAAACTCCCTTATAAGAGGACAATATCTCAGCAGAACCAGACTCAGGGAGCCGTTACCGCTTTGTGGTGAGGGGAGAAAGACAGGGCAAAAAACATGCCTTGGAAGAGAGACAGAGATGAATAATAACTAATATTTAAATACAGAGTGGTGTGTAAACGCCAGTGTGCATGTATCTGGCATGAGAAGTCTGTGAGGGCTTAATTGATGTACATCCTGGAGGTAAGAGTTCAAGAAATGTTGATCAGGCGTGATGAGAAACCTCTGATGGAATATTCTCTTAAACAGTTATTTTCTATTTTCTCTGCTCAGGTGTAAAGTCAGCCTTGATCTAGCATCTTCCAAAATGAGCCCACCGGACATATCCAACAGCACGGGAGAAGACGAGGCTAGAGAAACCGATCCCTTGTTTCTGCTTAACGACAGCATGGGCTTGCACCAGCCCGGATACCACACTGACATCATCAAGCACCTTGGAGTCCAGATCAGCCTGATCACAGCTTACTCGCTTATCATCCTGCTGGGGCTGCTGGGCAATGCTCTCGTCATCTACATGATAGTTCGCTACAGAAACATGCGAACAGTCACCAACTTCTTCATAGCTAACCTGGCCCTGGCAGACCTTCTCGTGAACACCTTCTGTTTGCCCTTCACGCTGGTTTACACTCTTCTAGAAGAGTGGACATTTGGGGCTGTGTTGTGCCACATGGTGCCCTTTGCCCAGGCTCTGAGTGTGCACGTATCCATCCTCACCATGACTGTCATAGCTCTGGAGCGCTATCGCTGCATCGTGTTCCACCTCGGAATGCGGCTCACGTGGCACTCGAGCTTCCTCATCATGGCATTCACCTGGACTGTGTCTGCTGTCCTGGCAGCACCCCTCGCCATCTTCAGAGAGTTCCGCTACGAAGAGATCCCGTCGATCAACCAGCGCTTTCCCGTCTGCACTGAAAAGTGGCCCCAAGTGACCAGCAGGGATGGGCTCATCTTCAGCCTCTCAATGCTCCTCCTGCAGTATATCATTCCTCTAGCCATCATCAGTTACGCCTACATCTGCATCTGGGTCAAACTGAGAAATCACATCAGCCCATCAAGCCGCAATGACAGCATCAACCGCCGCAAAAAGACCACAAAGATGCTGGCGCTTGTGGTGGTGGTGTTTGCCATCTGCTGGCTGCCCTTCCATGCCTTTCAGCTGGCCATCGACCTGGACCTGGTGCTCAGGCTCGAGGAGTATAAACTAATATACACCGTGTTCCACATTGTGGCTATGTGTTCAACTTTTACCAACCCTCTCCTGTACGGATGGATGAATAAAAACTACAGGAATGGCTTCCTCATGGTGTTCCGGTGCGAAGACAAGCCGGATACTTTCCACCTGGAAGGCTCATTCAGGACTCGCTCCTTGAGGAGGATGACTCTGAACGGCCGTAATGGCGGACACCCTCCCACTGCTGTGTGACTTGATTTGCACGTTTCAAGGCATCTGTAGTATATGAACGTTTGCGCGCCCCTCTGCTCCGTTGGCGTTTGTCTTTCAAAAAGTAGCCTCTTTTTTTTTTACTTTAATGGTTTGATCTTGAGTATCTGTGTCACTGGAGAAGACCCAAAGCTTTGCATGCAAATTGCTTCATGTGAAGTTCTTTTTCCTTTGCTAACAGCACTAGTAAAAACAACTATTAAGAAATGTGTTTAAGGTGTTTACTTAGGTGTTATTTAACTAGGTACAGTGTATAATGTGTTCTCGTGTAAAATGAGGAGCTCTCTTTCATTTGTCATGTCCAAATTTATGACACAGTCTTAAGGGAAGACTGTTATTACTGTGACAGTGAGAGTTTCATTTTTCACACCTGTTTTGTTTTTTCTACTTGATGTCTGCTCAAAAAATATCTGGATGGTTTTCAGCTAATTAATCCAACTGCTACATTCTGGATTAATTATAAGTGTTCTGGCAGCGTAACATTCAACCCTAGTTCAAGGAATCCAGAGGAGGCGATCGATATATTACTGTCCAAACAGGAAGTTAATTGTCCTCACCTGGCAACCAGCTGTTCCTGATTGGATGAAGCAGCAGGACCCTGTTTCCAGAGGAATGGGACTCTGTAGAGCGAGAGCAGCGTATTATTGATGTCTTTAGCACAAAATGCAGCCAGCTGCTTCGCAGATTTCTTAGAAAAAAGAAACGCTTTTGGAAGAAGTCAGAATGTGTGATTCTACATTTATTGCAGTGCTGATAAAGTGCCCTTTGTTGACTGTTTAATGAACAGGAATATTAATCAACCGCAGCACCTCTTGGTAGACATAATGAGCCCCTATTACACATGCAAATCCTGGACCTGATCTGACTATGGGGAGAAACTATGTTTTGCATGTCCTTGTCAAATAAAGAGATCCAGGTTTGGATAAATATAAGTAAGTCAAGTAAATGGCTGTTATATTCTTCTGTGACATAGTTTGAAAATGTACTGAACATTGGCAGCATGCAGGGACTCCCCACATGTATGGTAAGCCCGATTGATGAAATATCCATGTGAAAATTAAAAGAGGTGAATAGGAGATCTTTTTTTTAGTACAAGTCACACGTTTATGAGTCTTTCACATATTTTTTTGTTTATTTTAAAAAAGAAAAAAAAATAAGTGGGTCAAGTGATTCCAGTGAAGCATTTGTATGTGGCCTACACATTGTGATTCATTATACAGCAGAGAAAATGCCTATTGCTCTGGCATTACTGGCTCCTGACACCCACATTGCTGTTTTATTCCCTTGGTTGACCTATATCCCTTTTTAGTCCTCTAAATTATTATGAGAGCTGTGAGTGCTATCACTGCAACCAGCAGAACAGCACTCAGCTTGTATCCATTGCATCACACACCATTACGGTGGACGTGTGGACACTTCTTTTTTAAACAGGAACACATTATTTGGGATTCTGGGATGCATATTTGTTCAGGGAGTCCTAAAGATGCCAGTTCCAGTTGTTGAGAGCTGACTTAAAATCCCCCCTCACACGTCATTACAAAGTTCAGACAGAAAGTTTTGAGACTCTTCTGTAGTGTCTTGCGCGGTCACCTGCTGCCCTCTAGTGTCCCAAGCAGGCGTTGCACACGCCCCACCTAACCGGATATAGCGTCTCGTTTGACCTTCCTTTTTTGCTCCAGTTACGTTTGACATGATTTTCGGACTTTATCCGCGGTGAAATTCTTCCCGATGGGAGCGTAAAATGCAAATTCTCATTTTGTAAATGGTATCGCCGTGCAGGTAATCGCCTTTTCATCTGAGCTGACCCTAAAAAATGTGCTTATTGAATGTCAGTAGTAGAATTTTCTGGGGTACGCTGGGCCATTCATTCATGTGGCTTGCCTCATGCTAGGCTATGCTAAAGGGGAAGCTAAAGAGTGCGGACGTGATAAAACAGGATAGCAGTGTTTTATCTCACGTTAGGCCTCTCGTTGTTGAAATATGTCACAGTCTGCGGTCTTAATGAGGCTTACATTGTTTGTTGTCAGTCACGCGACGAGACACAGTTGGACACAGCTGGAGTTGTGAGGTAAAAAGGTGTTAAAGGTAACGCTATAGTGTTTACCTTCAGGTGTTTATTGAACTTGACACCTGTGGTTGTAGCTGAAAACACCAATGGGTTGTATTTATTTTGGAACATAAGGGTTGTCATCGCTGAGTTGTTTTATCACATTGACACCGCTATTTACGGCTTCGTCCTGATGTGGCATCTGAAAATTATCTGAACACATCTGGCTAACTATCACGCTGTTTGTTCTGTGTGTTTGCAGGGTAAACCAAGGGAACAATGGTGAAATATTTCTGCTGTGCAGGTCTGCTAAAAAACACCTGGGACCAAGTCTGTGTTGCTTTCTGGCAACGATATCCCAACCCTTACAGGTGAGGTGAGGGGTTTATGTGTGGATACGCATTCGTATCAAACATCTTTCTTATAACCTGTAATATTTTTTTAATGGACTGTAAACTGCACCCAATAAGGCAACAAAAAGTCACCTTGCAATGTGAAGAGCCTACAATTTTAGAGTCAACGTCCCAAACCCAGCTGATCGCCTCTTTCTGTAAGCACTAGATGACTGTGGGGTGGAAGAACTCCATTTTAACAGGAAGAGACTAACAGGTCCAGACTCCTCTGCCATGCTAGTTGGGGGAAGGGAGAAAAAAGGAGACAAAGACACAGGGATGGAATACAGTCTGCATTATCATAGTTTTCCTAATCTTTACGCTTAAATGCCAAGTGTGATTTTTTTTTTTTTTTAACTTCCCCTTCATATGTTTTTGTTTAAGATAAACAAACCGATATAGCATATAGAAAAAAAATGATAAAATTAAAAACACATTTTATGTATCCAAATGTTCAGTAAACACTCCAGTTTAAACATTTTTTTTAGCATAAATATGAGACTGTGTCATGTTGTGATGATCAATGAATTTTGTTTCACTTTAGTTTCTTATGAGACAACTTTTGAGACATTATGTTTTACAAACGCAACGCTCAGAGAAGTCATGTGACTTACAGTCAGGTATATCTCCCAGACTCGGTAAGAGTATTCACCAACACTTCCTCGTGCTTGTTCTGCTGATTCATAGGACGGTTTGTGTATTCCCACGGCATTTTTTCCACTTGGTTCATTTTTGTTTTTATCTAAAGTCTATTTATTTTTTATTATTAAGAACATTTTTGTTGTTGTTACTTCAGTGAACAAGATTCTTTTTACATCTCTTTTTAGTTTTACATTACAAGAACAACATGATTAGATTACATCTTAGCATTCACCTACTGAGATGGTTAAGTGGAAGATCCTGGAAAGTCATTTTCAGGAAACGCATAGTTGTGACTTTATTTTGCCAATTTTCTGCTGAAGATTGTTCGCATAAAAAATTAAATGGAGATAAAAAAAAAAAAAAAAATACTTTAGGGGACCAAGCAGTTTCTAAATAGCTCAGTTTCTTCATCATTCTGCCATTTTTACCAACCGAACTACCATTCGGGTAATAAAGGGGGGGGAAAAAATCACCGTAATCAAGTCACAATGAGTGTGAAAGCAAATGTTAGTTGTGCTTTTAATTGAATCATCAGTTTGTCCATTTAATTGAAGCTTAATAGTCCTTGTCAAGCTAAAAATACAGTGTCTAGTTTAGTATTTCTGTGTTTGTCACTGTTTCATAGAATGTTTAAATGTAATATATTTTGATTTTGAACTGTTGTGTGGATTAAAAACGGTAAATTCTTATTGAACTGAAGCAAAAATAGAGATTTTTCAAGATCATAAACCTAAATAATCCAGGTTTCACGTCATCTTAATCCATCCGTCCTTCTTCTTCTTCTTTCACAGTAACCATGTCTTGACTGAAGATATCATTTTCCGAGAGGTTACCCCAACCAACTGCCTCATTTCCAGGCGTCTTTTGACCAAAACTAGCCGTGCCCCTCGCTGGATGGAGCGCTACCTTCCAAAGCACATGGCCAGCTCGGCGTACATCATCGAGGACTCCATCGTGGACCCTCAGAAAAGGACCATGACCACGCTCACGTGGAACATCAGCCACGCTCGCCTAATGGTACATTGGCGTTTGTGTGCCTTAAGCAGCATTCATCAGCAGTGCACAAAGTGGCACCTTTGGCTCATTTTGCTTTTGTTTTTTCTCGCTGACAGTCTGTAGAAGAGCGGTGTCACTACAGAATTAACCCTGAGAATGGCAGCTGGACCGAGATTAAGAGAGAAGCTTGGGTCTCCTCCAATGTCTACGGGCTCTCTAGAGCTATTCAGGTCAGTGGAGTAAAGCAGAGAGCTGCGCTACATAACAGCTGAGGGAAAGTAGTCGGGGGTGACTGAGAGTAACACTCGCCCACCTTGCATTTGTTCTGTATTTAGAAACATAATACAGTGTTAAGATGCAACAGCTGAGCAGCTGAAGCTGTCGGCCAGGACCTGAAGTAGTAAATGACTTATGACAGAGAATTACAGTAGTTGTTGACAGCCCATATATGAGGATGTGAGTCATGTGTTGTTATGCCTCATGCATCTTTTATAACTTTGTTTTTCACCTTCCAGGAATTTGGGCTCGCAAGATTCAAGACCGGTGTGACAAAAACCATGAAAGGCTTCGAGTATGTGCTTGCCAAAATGCAAGGTAAATTATTCTTGGTTCTTATTCCCATTTTATTCCTATTGTAAGTTTGTGGCTGATGCTAATATGGGTTTTCCAAATGGGTTCAAACTGCTCCAAAAAATTAAGGGAACACTTGATCGCCTCAGTGTAACACATGAGGATTGGAGCCCAACGTCCTTTAGCAGGATTTGTGCTCACACACCAACACTGTGCTGCTGGAGTGGCATTTCCTGGAGAACACTAGAATTGTGAGCGGCAGGCGACATAGTGCTTCCCAGCATCTCCAGACACCTTTATGCTTGTCACATGGGCTCCGTGTCAGTTTGCGTCCTTTGAAGAGAATTGGCACTATCGGAGGCTGTATAGCATTGTTCTGCTGGCACAGGTCCCACTTAAAGACACTGGGACTTTATGCCATTTTCATGGAGTCTGTTTCTGATGGAAGCATCGAGGTTAACACGTGTAGCCCTCTGGAGCTCATTCTTTAGGGCTCTGGCAGCCCTCCACATGTTCCCCCTCACACAGAGTCACATAGTGGGGCTGCTACTGGGGTGGATGGCCCTGGGAGACACAGCAACCCTTCTTGCAATGGCATGTATGGCTGGAATCCTGGAGGAACCGAACTACCTGTATATGCTGAATGGATTGCAGCTATTGTATCAGTAGTGACTAGTGACACAAAGAAAACGTAAAGTTAGAGAAAAATCAGTTGGGGAAAAGGTGAGAACAATGGTCTGTGGTCATCGCCTTGCAGAAGTATTCTCTTTTTGATGGTTGCCTTCTCTTTGCCTCCCACTTTACCTGTTGTCGCTTTTATTTATCCCAAAGCAGGTTAAATGGAGTCAGTGGTTGATGCTTCCTAATAGGACAGATGGATATCCCTTAAGTTTAACTGACTCTGTGTTAAACTGTGGTGATCAAGTGTCTCCCTTTTTATTTATTCATTTTTTTCTGAGCAGCATAATATAATAACATCAGTAATTCGTGCATGGAACTGCATATTCTTCTAAAATAAGGTGACTGTTGCTTTTTTTCATGAATCTGGAAAACTGATTATAGTAATAATTGGAAGTGTTAGCTGCTTAGGCACGAAAACCTGGATGAATCCAATGAAGAGCTGTGTTTTGTCCCCGTGTAGGTGAAACTCCATCGAGAACTTTAGCGGAGACGGCTACAGAGAGGGCGAGAGAGACGGCGCTGGCTGCTAAAGAGAAAGCCAAAGACCTCGCCTCGCATGCCCAGAAGAAGCAATACGTGTGACAAGCTACACAAATAAAGTGATTCTGCAGCAGAACTCACCGATCCCAGTCATGGTTAGACACCTCTGTGAGGGCGCATCCAACTGAAATGGTGGGTGGACCATAAAAGACCTGAGCTGGGTTAAACAGCCTGTTCCTGCCTCCCTCTACATGCCGCACTATAAATATATTGCCGAGCGTATCTACGCCACATCACCTCAGTATTTACCAGAGACGCAGGTCTTAGACAGGAATGGTTGGTTATTACTGGCGCTGCCATAAAATGATTGAAGCTGTTGTTCGACCTTTGCTCCAGTCGTGCCCATTGTCTTGTTTTTTGTTTGGGTTTTTTTTAAACTCCGTTCCTTTGAGTATGCCTCGTCTAAAGCAAGTCACGTTGTCTTTAAAGCTCCAGTAGATAAGGTCACACCGAATTTGTGATTAAGGCATTCTCGTTTATGATTGGTTTTATTTAATCTTGCATACAGTTGCTGGTTTAGTTCGCTCTACAACACTTAAATCGCATTAGTGCAGCTGATCATCTCCTTGCCTCAAGTTGGACTGAAGAGTTTGGTACAGTTGGTGTCATTGCTCAAGAAGAAACCTCTGAAAACTTGAATTGTGATTGTGCATTTAAAAAAAAAAAGGCACAAAAGCTAACTTGAACTGTACATTCAGCTAAGCTCTGGTGATGCAACCCATGCAAAAATGTGTCCTTTATCAGCTTGTCAATAAATTGACTTTGTCTTTCTAATCACTTTGCTGTCTGTCAAGTGTATGTCTGTGCGCCAGCCCTGCTCGAGTTAGGGGTGAATGGATTTTTACCTCTAAAATGACTAATAACAAACACAACAGCAAATAAATACAGAAAATATTTATTCATTAAAAAAAGGAAGCTTACATCAGTACAAAAATGCTACATAATATTACTGGGTGGAGAGACGGATAAAGTAATAAGGCCTCTTGCATATACAAAAGTGAATTGAGGGGGTAGAAAGCACCTTAAGTTATTAAATACTAGGGGTCGACCAGTGTTCAGAGTTTCAAGGCCGTTGAAGATAAACTGTAAATGAGCCGCGCCGGCTCTGATGCAGTCTTCTGTTTGAACACGGCTCATAAATAACAGCCCATCAACACCAATGTTATACAGTAGTGCAGCTGCAAGCTTGGAGCAGCTCCCGGCACCTGCTGCAGAGCTGTGTTTCCATGCTGAAGCGGCAGAAGTTGCAATAAACACTGCGATGTTATGTGTTTCTATGACTACAAGCACGGCGATTTTTCCCAATTACACTGAAAAATCGAACAATGCACCTTTTTTTTGTTTTTTTTACATTGATGCAATTTACTAAAACAAATTAACAGTTTATGTAGCCATAGCTTGCCCAGAGGCATTTCAGCAAAGTGTTAGGTTTATCTAAAAGTTTCAAATATCTGTTATTGGTGTCTTTGAAACTAAAAAAATATAGGTCGACCCCTATTGAATACACAGAAATGAATATGTAATACAGCATTAACTACATAATCATTAAAAGTACAAACTGCCTACCTGACTGGTGAATTTGTTATGTGTATAATTAACAATTTAATTGATAAATGCACAAGTGAAGGTAGGAAAGACTTCTAGGAAACATTAGCAGTGAATAAAACTGCCATTAGGCCTCGGTGAGCAGCTCCCAAGTGCTCCTCTCACAGTTTTAAATTCTTAAATTGTGAACTAATTCATATTTGGCAATGTTACTGAATTTTCCTGATGTCGATGTGCAAATATGACCTGCTTCTGTTTGCTGCTTTCAAATCTTTCTGAGACAAAACAAGTGCAACATTTGGAAATTATGTGCAATAGAATAAAAAGGAGCAAAGTATATGACTGCACTTAGATATACAATAGGACACAAACACAAAAAACCCCGACATAGCAAGATTAATGTTTAAGTGCATGCTAAACGTGGCATACTGAGATATAAGCTTAGTGCTAGGTAAAAGCTGAATAGCATACTAAACCAGATCTGATTTAAGGCAGAATTCAGTACAGACATTCTGTAGTAAAGAATAAGTTAAAAGTTTAGAATAAAAGCCCTTGTCTGAATTTTAAAAGCCCTTAAAAAAATGAATTATTAGAGCTGCATGAATGATACGAAGTTTGACACCTCATGGCTTTGGGGGAAAATAGCATTAATGACTGATGCTAGAACACACACGAGTATGTGTTTGGTGACGACACGGCCCAGTGAATTTTACTGCTATTCAGTGCAAATGGACACCTCTCTTTCATAACCAAAGGTTGGCTTTTAGCTTTTTGTCCGACGTGTGCTGACAAGAGAATGCCAAAAAAATGTTCAGTTGTACAGTAACATCTTCTTCCATTCTCCCCCATCCTTTGTTTTTGGAATGTTTTTCCTCCTCTTCCTGTCCGTCCGGTGACAATAAACCAGTTACCACTCGTGTACCGCCGTCATAGCCAGGCCTTTTCCAGGCTGGAGTAACAGTGGTCCGCGCCGGTGTGCGTAATGCTCAGTCCATCAGAGTCCACAAACACAATGCTCTCCACATCAACCTCAACGTCCTCTGCAACAAACCCGAGCACAGATCCGATCCGTCAGCAGAAATACGGCAAACTTCGCTCGTCACATTAAACTTGAACTTGCAATTTGCCTTTGAGGAGACAGCCAGCTCCTAGTAGGACTGAAATAATTTGAACGTGAAATTAAAAAAACCCGAGGGGCTTACCTCTGTCTGAGTCCGACCTCTCGGAGGACATGGTTGACCCCTGGCTGTCGTTCCTCATCCTCTCCGTGCCCCTCTGCAGCTGCTCCAGCCGAACCCGCAGCTCTTGCTGCTCCCAGCGCAGACGATCCTTCAGCTGCTCTGCACGCTCATCCTGCTCCTGCAGCTTCTGAACGGGAAAAAGGTGCAGGAGCAGAGCAATGAAGAAAGGATAAACAGTACAGGCAAAAGCAAAAATTGAGATTGCTAAAAGCTCTGTAAAATGCACAAAACAAGCCACTTTCTATACACACAGTATTCATATATATTCAGAATATTTAATGTTCTTGACTAATTTAAATGCTTAACTTTAGAAACACCAATTACATGCATGTCTTTGGACTTTGGGAGTAAATCGAACTACCCGCAGAGAGCACATAGACAGAGGGAGAACATGCAAACTGCACACAGAGAGGCTGGATTTAAACACAGGATATTCTTGCTGTGAGGCAGCAGTGCTAACCACCACACCACAGTGTTACCCCACTTCATGATTCAGCATTGTTCTCTGTTTTGTCTTGTGCGGTCTCCCTTTAACACGTATTGTGTCCCTGAGAAAAGCACCACATTTTAAACATGGCTGGGATGACAAGTAAACCAAACTCGAGTCAGATTCAATGCAAATTCAGACATCTCGCACCTTTATGTGAAGCTGGGCTCGTCTCAGCAGGTTCAGAGTGGTGTTCCTCATCGAGTCCGATGACAGTGGGACCTGCTTCTTCAGCTGCTCCAGGCAGTGCCTCAGCTGTGCCCGTCTGCAAAGCACAATGAGAAAGAAGTGAAGCTGCAAATCCACACTTCCCTCTTTTTGGGGTTTTTTTAATCTCTTGATCTGACACACATGAACTTTTACTGTAGCATTACGAAGAAAAGCCCATTACCTGTTTTTCTCCAGCTCATTATGAACAGACCTGCAAACAAAGTAAACAAACAGACAGTTTGGTCAAACATTCACAAGAGTGCACTCCTACTCAGCAGCTACTGCGTGAGAGGTATTCAAGGTTAAAAGGGTGCCTTATCAAAACTGAAAGTCAGACCGAGCCACACCCTGTCGCCAGTTATTTGTTATGTAATGCATTCACCTATTGCCACCAGCAGATATCTTCTTGCTCTTCTGCTTGCTTCTCCTGTCGGACTGAGCTGGACTGAGAGGCAAGACGGAAGCATACCCATGTTCTGCCTCTGCGCAGGGAGACACATCACAGCTGTGTTACACAACAATCGCCGGCAAAATCACAGTGCACACTGGCTGCGACGTTAAAGGTGTCCTCATATTAACATGTGCGAATGCCGGTGGGACAAATCAACTTTTATTACGGCGTAATTAAAGTGTGATATACCATCCGTGCTGTAGGGGAGGTGGGAGAAAAGGAGGCTGAACGCAGTCTACCGTTGTCATCAGCTGGACGTTTTGCTTTTGGCGCCATCATCCACTATCTGTTCGCTTTTATCCAACCAGCCTTACAACCTCACGCGTAAAAAAGGAGTCGGGATAGCGTCTACAGCTAGTAAGCAATGAATGAAAGTTATACTTTATAGGCTTTCCTCATGCCCCCCTTTCATTCACCGGAGCGAACGCTCAGCGGCGCCCGGATTCATTTTCAAACTGGTCCAGATTGGCGCCTTTGAGTACAAAGATGCGACCGATATGTAGGTCAGAGTCAAATGGCAAAACACCGCCCAAAAATAACCTTGCACCTAGAATCCAGGTTAAATCTTAAACAGCTGCACGGTATGATGTTTCTACGTTATGTGTAGGTGCATACTTGCCGCCGGTTTATTGTGGATTCATCGTTGTTTTAACAATAACCAATCAACTCCCCTCTCTAGGCTGACAGTTGACATAAAGCACTTACCCCGCTCTCTTCTCTCCAGAAACTCGGCAGCCCGAAGAAGCACCTGGATGTTGCACACTTGTCCTTCCATTGTTTTGTTTTGTTTTTTTGCTCAAATGAAACGGCAGCAGGTAAACAAGCTACTGTGGTACAATCGTCAAGAGCCCGAAGTGGATGAAGCAGTGTCTGAGCTACGTCCTCAATCCACACAACGCTAAACCGGTGGTGCGTTCAGGAGCTCAACGCAAACTCGGAAATTTTCATTAAATTGTGTATAAACATTCCAGGTTATACCGTTCTACGTAATATTTTGACTAAATTCCCTAACCACTCGGATATTATCATTAAACGTATCACGCCACATGCCCCACACTATCTATCGATTCATCCAAATCTTCTGAAAAGTCTTTTTATTAGGGTCAAAGTTGAACTTCAGAAAAATAATGGTCAGCAGGATAGCGTCAGCGCTTTTTGTTCTGTTCAAATTATTTTTCATATTTCCCTTCATGTTCAACTTGCATTGCTAAGTAGTGGTGTTTTTGTCTGTTTGTTTTTCTAAAAGTCGTTTTTCGCAAATTTGCTCATTTAATCCAGGGAATTCTGGGTTTTGGTGGAATCTGTACAATCGTTGTTTGCAACCTAGAATGCGCCATATGTCTAATGTTATAATATAGCATTTATGTAAAATCCTATGCTATGCAAATGATAAACCAAGAAATAATGCTATAATTGTACTCTTTATATATAACAAACAATATCTGTGTTATACCTCCATCAAAATATTTCCGAAAGCACTGAAAGCACCTAACACTGATTGGTCCCTGTCCTTCCATAAAGTTTATTGAAAAAAAAAGTCTTTCACACGGCACTATTTTTCTAATTTTGTTTATCGACATTGTCAATAATAACATTTCACAACAAGATGATTGTTTGTGAGGTAGCTCCTGTTACCAAACCAACTCTTACACATTTATTTCAGTTCATATATTTCAGTTTCACTGTCTCCCTCAGCGTCTAAAAACAGCGCAAGTCTAAACATTTTATTTCGATAACAAAATGTTTAAGGATAGAAAACACTCAAACGTATTACAGTTTGCTCAATAAAGACAATAAATAATAAAAATTCAATAAACATTATATATACCAATGGAAAGTGGGAGGAGACGTTTGCCTAACTAAATATGGCGGCCCCTGGCTTCACCGCGAGAATATGCTTGCAGCCGCATACTCCATGCGGGAGTGAAGCCTCTTTGCCAGCAGTATGTTTAACCTTTGAACTCCTGAGTGTGCGAGTCCTCCGCCATATTGACTGTTGTCTTGACTGGAGGAGATAGAGAACATTTTGAGGTCCGAGAAGAAACGAAAGTGTGCTCTTAAAATCACCGAAACTGGTGCAAACTTGGTCAAAGCGTACTATAAACAAGGTCGTAATGGCAAGGAAGAAAAGCAAGCAGCAAGGGGTCGCCCAGAAGGAGCTTGTGCCTGGACAGCAGACCGCTCCGAAGAGCCCCGTCTCTCCCGGCGATGCAGCTGGCGGTGGCGGCGGAGATGCTGGGCTGGATAGGCTGCCCACTACCAAGGCGAACCAGGTAGCTAGCTGCGAGCCAAACGCTGCCTTTAAAATAGGCTAGCTAGCCTAGCTAGCACTACTCAGCTAATCCAAGCATCCTCCATTGTGCTTCTATTCTATCAGCTCAATCATGGAGAGGTGCAATTATATGCACCCGCTTCTTGGTGGGAAGCTATTTTAGTTGTAATTTAGCAGCGATGTATGCATACCTTTATGTCGTGTGAATTGTCATTAAATAAATATTAAGCTCAACTTACCGAGTAGAATAGTTCCCACCAGACGCATTTTTAGGCACTGTGATCACCATTGCAGCCAGTCCCTTATACCGGACAGGTGACATTGCACCTCGGGCAGGGTCGTCCCATTTCCATCGCTTACAAGACTTCATCCGCCCAGCTAACGTTAGCCAAGCTATCATCTTCAGCTAGCGTGCTGCAAACGTGCTTGCTGCCTGCACTTGATCCCCTCCACAGGACCTACTCAGCCAGCAGAGGCTAACCAGCTACTAGCTAATCAACCAGTTAATTAGCTTAAAAACTTGAAACATAACGGGTTATCAATTAGGGGAGCTGTCAGACTAGTTCGTATTAGTTTTTTGTCGTACCAGAATCAAGTATCAATCTGTAACAGGAGCTAATGTCAAAAAGTTTCAGTATAAGCAGTTAACTTGTGAGCTAATGATGCTTAGCTGAATCAGAAGTGTCTGTGATGTTGAGGGTAACCGCTTAAAATAAATAAATAAAATTTATCCATCTGCAGGCTGGAAAACTGTCTTATTAACAACCAGCTGATATTACACCTGGCCCGAGCTTTATAACCTGCAACCTGTCCGCTGCTGCTGGGACCTGTTAATTACATTTTTATAACGCAAACTTAAGCCCCTAAACGGATCGATCAGCTTTTTTCCATAGAGCTTTTTAGTACTGTACCAAAAATAATTGAACTAAGTCCTATCATAACAGTGAATGTTCATTTTTATGTAAACTGTTATGGAGAAGCTCTATTCATGATTTATTAAGGTACCACACTATATAGGATATAGCCAACTGTACCTTCAAACTGGCAACACAGCACTTCTACAGTCATATAAGCACATGTTTTGATGTCTCTTGAAAGTTGCTTAGCTCTGGCTTATATTTCTAATATGTTTGTAATCTGGTATTCTAGATGTTTGTCCCTTTTGCAAAAGACATATTATTCCAATTGATCTTTAGTTTTTTCTCACCTGCTTTTTCCTGTTAAGGAGAACTTTTCCCTCATCTAAATCAAAGTCTAGGGACTGTGGGTGGAAGAGTATTGAATGAAATATCCCCCTACTGTAACGGTGAGAGAATGGTTGTGAATGTTATACACAAGGGTTAAAGATAGGTAATCCACCCTCATTGAACATTTAAACATTTATCTAGAAAAATCACCAAAACACCAAAGTTTCTTGACATTGATCATTAAGGATGCAGTTTAATTTTGAGCTGACTGTGAATGTGTTTTGAATCGTTTCCCCCTAAACCATGAATTACAAGCATAATCAGTTTGCTTTTCAGGCTTTGATCTAGGGCACAAACCTTGATTGATTAAGCACGGAGCATTGCAGAGAGTGAATCTACTACATAATTTTACTATGTGTTAAAGTTAACATGATGGTTAAATTACATTTATTTTTTATTGTTATTTTTATTTGTTTTTGTGGTGTTACTTTTTGCTTTTTGTTTGTTTTGTTTTTTCTTATGATGGTTCTGTCACACAATGCTTGCAAAAGGTCCAGCGAGGAAATAATTTGATCTTTGTCATTGCTTTTTAGCACTTTGGTATGTATTGCGTGCACAGTATTATGAGCTTAATTAATATATGTTTTAGTCTGTGATATCTGTTGCAATTATATGCATCAATCAGTCAACACATCTTATATATGGAACGCTTTCTTCTCTCTTTTTCTGCCTAGCCTATGCACACCTGCTGTCTCCTGTGCCATCGTGAATTTAAGGACTGGGGAGCGAGTTCTGTGAACGGGCTTCCCGGGGGCCATGGAACGAAGCTGGCCAACGCCGTGCCTGCGCTCTCCCAAGCTTTATTGCGGGAGGCGCCAGGGCGTAAGCTCGCTGATGCTGTGCCCTCACTATCTCAGTCCCTGCTGGGAGAGGTGCCTCTGTGGATCTGTCAGAGCTGCTGCAGGAGTGTAGAAGAGGAGGAGAAGCGGAGCACACAGGAGCAGCCAACACCGGTAAATAAAACAGGACTGATCTGGGTCACATGTCTGAGTACTTTTCAAAGCCTCTGTTTACTAATGTTTAGTTAAACTATGTTTCTTTATCCTACTGAGGTTACCTCATTATTAGTCATCAACACTGTTTCTGCAAAATAAATCTCTCTAAATCTCACCTTTGCTGTTAGGGCTGTCAAAAGGTGCCAGAGGTCACTTATTTGTTCAAAAGAGCCACACAGGTTGGAACTATTTAAATATTACATCATGACCACAAGAGGGCAAACCAATACCACAAATAAACCTGTTACTAAAGATCTAAATACCTACAACTGACAAAATAAGCAAGTATAATTATTAGATTAAGTTTTACTGAATGAACCTTTGAGGTTCTGAGAGAGATCTGCTTTCAGTAACATGGAACAACAAGGATCTTTTCCCCAGAATGAGTTGTGAAGATAATAAAACCATTAGGAAACTATGGCGTGAAGCTTTTATCTCTGGATTATTTGTTAATCAGTCAGGACAGTTAAGGTTCCACAGTCTTGGTCTTCTACAGACCAAAATCCCAAGTATTCCCAAATGGGACACCAAGTGTTAAATCGATCTTTCTGACTTGAGTTTGGTTGTCACCTTTATGGCATCCTTACTGTTGATCTGTTCCAAAACAAAACAGACCTAACCTAACTTGCCTGCTGTTACTGTTAACAGTTTTGTACACATATAAAACAGTCTGAAACTCCAGGTAGAACTAAACAACCTTTAACAAGTAAAAAAAAAAAAAACAAAACAAGAAATTTTTATGGTTTGAGACCATTTAGCTGATATCCACCCACTTATATTCCCTCATTATGTAGGCTAAACCAGTCACTTTTATCCTTTCTAGCACCTGCAGCAGTGTAAAGCACGTATCTACACCACACAGCTGTTCCAGCTTTGCCAACCAATATGCAGTTTTGCAGGTGGATTATGCTCCGTTAACCCTGCAGCAGCAGTTGGTCTAACAACTTCTCTGCTGGAAACCCAGCTTTGCACTCTGCAGTTCAGGAGACAGATACTAAGGGTGCTCCGCCCCCCCCCAGTTTTCTTGTAAATGTTCATTCATATTTAAAAAATTTTGTTCATATCTGCTAGATATATAAATTGTGATTAGAATTTTACGTACACTCATCATGGGCATGAGGTGTAAATCTAAAATTGTCTGCTATAGATTTTCATTGAGTTATTTGGACTTTCCCATTATTCTGAGTTTTGTTGAACAAATCCTTCTTATTCTGACAAAGGTAAAGTTGTAGTCAACTGTGATTAGTGATTACTAACGAGAAATTAATAAGCCATGGCCTTGTCAAGCTAAAACACATTGTAGAAGCTTCAGCAGTTCAAATAAGTCATTAAAAACCCCCGAATTACCATGTAATTCATGTCTAGGATGAGTTTATATGAACCTCTAACCATAACTGT